TCTTCAGGTAAATTTTACAGCATAACTACCAATCCCCTTCGGATAAGGATGTTTTTCATCAAATTGAATTTCTAATTAGTCTATCATGCTTTGCCAAACAAAATATCCACAAGAATATTTTTCAACTAACCATTTCAGCCGGGCGATGACATTTCCATTTTCAGGTCGAAAGTTTTTAGATTTTTCATTTTTTTTCTTGGAATTATCTTCCTTTTGAACATATTTCAAGACTTTATGTATAATAATAAAAGTCGAAAAACCAAAATTTACACATTACTTCGCTGTTTTTGAAAAACGAGCTTGTCAACACAATCAAAAAGGTTTGAGAACCGATTCTATTTCTCGAGGCTGATACATCTGACTGAGCTAAGATTTTATTTTAGTTTTACTAAAAAATGTGCAATGCTTCTACTTTATGTTGTTTCAAAATATGATGTATCGCTATTTTTTTTATCAAGACTTGAAAACAAAATGCCTTCAATTAAAGCGACAAGAAATGCGTTTTCGACGGTGCTCTCATAATTTTGAAGTTTTCATTCGAACGAAAGGAGATAAAAAGAAACAAAACAAAAAAGTTGGGAACCAAAACAGTATGTAGTATCTGTAAAAGAAATTTTTTTAAACTATCAAACGTATTGTGACTGAGAAAGGAGACCATTTTTGCTCTTGCAATGTCGATATTCTCTACAGCGAAGCGTCCAAGAATTTTGAGTTTACGGCGAATTTTGCTCTACTCATTGAGTTCGATCTACTCTGCGACTTTCGAAAGTTTGTGATGAATTTTTCTATAAAAGTGTTGAAATAGAGAGGTGTCCTTAAGTTTCCGGTACTAAGAGCCACTCTAAGACAGAAGAAAACCAAAATATTCAAAAGTACTATTTCAATAAATACAGTATAAAAAAATAGATTGAAATATTCAAAAAATAAAATGTTTTTATCTGTATATTAGTCTTTATTTTTTTCTCTTAAAAACAAAAAAATGAAACAGCAACAACAATAACAACAAAATATTTTCATAGAACAAAAACAAAACAATATCTTACTTTATTTGGATCTATACGATTTCCGTTTATATTTTTTTTTCAGATATTGTTTAAAAGAGTTTGTTCTTCAACTGATGAATATGATGCATTCAGCCGTTTATCATTATTATTTATAAAACAATGTTCTGATTTTCATTTAATGAATTTTCCTCAGGTTTTACGTTAATTTTGATTTTGTGCAATCCAAGATGAATTAGTTGACGACCGGATTGATTCTTTGATTAGATTATCTTTTTCCATTTGTAATTGATGACGATGAAGTGATCTCAATAAAGATCCAATGGTTTTCTTCATAGATGCATATGATTCTTTAACTTTACGACTAATTTTATATTTATGTTGTTTTATATAAGGTCTACTAAATTTTTCATTATATTCAGTTTTTATTAAGGAAATCTGTTTTTCTGCATCAAATATTGATCTAGGATCGCATAAATCTATATTTGATTGTAGATCTTCTATTTGGGAGATTGTTAATTCAACCATTTCACGATAGGATGGCAAGTTTTGGTTATTCAGTGACCATAATAAATTATTTAAGCAAGCGAATAACTAAATAAAATAGAAAAGAAAACTGATAAGAATTAATTTTATATTCATATGGACTAACTTGTCGAAATGAAAGAAATTTTTTATTATATTCATGAAGTGGTTTTCGAATTGATGATATCGGTTGAAATGTATCTGATGATGATGATGTTTGCAATTGTTCTTTGAAATTTTTTACATTTATCTCATTATGATCTTCAGATGAAACTTCAATATTCGAACGAAACGATGTCGATGATATGGGTTCAATTGGATGAATCAATGACGATGATTGTCTATTAGATGTGTTGTTGTTTTTGTCGACATTCTCAAACCATTTCTTGTATAGAATCTGAAGAAAAAAATTACTAGGAATAGTTTCTATTGAATTAATATGAGTTAGAAAAGATCAAAAAAAAGAATTAAGAGATATAATCACTATTCATATATTAGAAATTCAAGGAAATCAAGGGAAAATTAGTGTTTGGACCACCTACAACGTATCTGTATGTAGCAGTATTAGGAGCTCCTTCGACACAGTTAGGGAGCGTCGGGTCCACGTTTTTGTGAACCTGAACCCGAAAAAGAATTAAAAATTTGGATCAAGACCAAACCAGAGGTTTTTTTCCACCAATATCTGGCACCCTTCGCGTGCATAAACAAGTAAAGGATCAAAACTTTAGCTATTTATTTGCTATTCTCAGAAAAAAATTCAGCGTACTTTTATATCTTGTTGCTTTATTTCTCATCTGGTGAGCTGCAGATCCACAAAAACGTGTAACTGGGTCCGAAAACCAATAGCACGTTGGATCCGACGCTTCCTAGTCAGTATTTTGAGTCGTCCTCGTTGTACTATGCCTTAAATTCCACCTTAAATGCTATTGAATTTCGAATTTTTAAATAGTGAGTATTCCTACATATGATGTAAAAGTAATAATATAAATGCAGCGACAAGAAATTTATTTTCTTTTTTAATTTATGTAAATCGAATATTTCGACCTTTTCAGATCTTATTTATTGGTCATCATAATCGCGTTATTAAACCAATCATCTAATTATGCCCACAGGCCTAAATCATAATGCTACTAATATTATTTTTACATTTATTCTAAAATCCTAAGTCAATTTATGTTGATTTATAAGTATACGATGTCTTCTATGAATTTCTTCGGAAAGCCAATTAAATCCCAGTATAAGTTTTCAACATACCCATCACAAAGGATTTAGTAATGTGTACACTATCTATATAATAAGTTTTATAGATAAAAAGAAATATTTAATCTCAGAGATGATAACCATATTTGATCTGACTTTAAGTAATCAACTAAATTGTTCTTATCGTTGAATGATTTCGTCTGAAAAAAGAAAACAACCAATTGGTTAACCCTTCACCCCCCCATAGTGGTTTCAGGAGAGCCACTGATAAAAGAAGTTTATAAATAAAATATTGGCCTCTCTAATATGCCAACGATGTGGTCTAATCCCCTGAATATTCTACTCCTAGAGTACGACGGTTCGCTAGATTCAGCGATCATCTGGTGGAAAAGGGCGATTGAACAACATCGTGAGACTTGAGTTTTTTTTCTTTGACCACACTATCGAGTGGACAGAAGCAACATATATCCCGTGCTTTAGAAACAATGGGAAAAAACAGTTGTGAATCGATAAAAATTAATACCAAACTGTGCATGCAGTTTATTACATGTATATGTCAAATGATAGTCTAGGTTGCTCTGAACCATTTTATAACGTCGGAAGAAATTTAGTTCATAATAAATACTATTTCTGCTTCTTATGAGTTGAGGTTTATATTGCATATATTAACTTTGTTCTTGATTGCCTTCCGTCTGCCCAATAGCGGCTACATGGCCAATGGTGTGTTTTAACACGTGTAATTCGTGAAGTTACCATGAAACTTTCAAAACATATTTTATTCATCAGTGCACTTCCTCATCAACTAATATCACAGAAATTTTAAAGAATCTCTATTGCCTATGAGTAGAGAATATTTTATTTGAAAAATTTTCATTTTTTCGAAATTATCAATTTTGAAGACCTGATATTTCAGTGATGGAAAAATTTTAAAAAATACTCTTTTTACCAATTGATAGGTCATGAAGTTTACTACAACAAAGATTCTTGTTGTTCTTGAATCCGACATTTCCTTAATTTACTCTAATGTTTGTAAAAAATGGCAATTCCAATTGCCAATGGAGGCTAAAGGGTTAAATGAAAATTCCATAAATCTGTTTGTATACCTATAGTGACACACACAGATGTATCACACTAGATGAGGATGCCACGAAAACATGAACATAGAGTATCGTCCTATGTCGTATATCTATCAAATTTCTAATGTTATTTTCATTTCTTTGTTTCATTATATCGATTATTCACATATCAATATATGTATTCTATGGTATACAGAAGACATAGATCTTTACATCTTCAGTATCTTCTATACTCTGTACATCCTCGATGTTAAAATTCAATGGAGTTTCCGAGAAAATCCTTCCAAAAAAATCTAATCAATTTCGACAGTTGAAAAGACTACGAGAATTGAGAAGGCCTAAGATATCTGAAATACTTCATGGAATTCGGCTGTATCTCTTTTGTTGAACATATTGCGAAATGCTCAGATTTATTCATTTAAATATTCCCTAGTAGTCTTCAAGAATGAACAATGGGTGTGTGACAGTTTAATAAAGTATATTCTATTTTTCTGTTACTTAAAACATCTAAATACCTTTAAATTTTTATAAAATTCAGAGAATAAATTAGCAATCATTGAAAATTGTTGAAGATGATCAAGTTTTGTCTTATTTGATTCAATTAATTTTTCCACTGAGTGACAAATATTAGAAACTTGATTTAAATTTTGCGAATACAATTTGATTTCCGATGGATTGTGTAATTGAAAATTTTGAGTAAAATTTTGTATCTTTTGGTTTAATGGATGAATAAGTGAACGAACATAGCCCTGAATTATACAAATATATTCAAATAGTTCTATCAAAATTTGATCAAAACCATATTGATTAATGAAGATTCGAATATTATTGACTAAATCATTAGTGGATTTTTCAAATGAATATACTAAATATGAAAGAACTTTTTTTTTAGATAAATTGATAGTTATTAATTAATTACAGTAAGATCTAGAAAATATTCTTTTAATTTAATATCTAAAGAAGATAAATATCTTACTGATAAGTTTGTTCTTGATCACACTCATTTTCATATGTATCAACATGTTTGTTTTCAATAGATGTTGTTGAAGATGTAGCTTCTGCTAAAATAGATATTCTAATAAAAGAAACAAAGTCAAACAAAAATATTATTCAAAATTTCCATCACTTTTGTTGTGGATTTAATGAATTTGATATTGATGATGATGACGATGATGGTGAAATTACAGATGTTTCTTTCTTTTTCTTCAATATCATAATTTGATTATCATTATCATGAGCTCAAAGAGAAAAAAAAAGAAAATTAATATGAATATTTAATGAGAATACAAATTGAATATACCTTGATGAGCGCAAAGATAAATGATGGTGCTATGACAATTAAGTCCATTTTTATTAACATATTCGAGAAAAGTGTTGTATTGATTTATATCTAACGGTTGCTGTCGAAAATCATATAATGATGTTTTTAATTGACTTTCTTCTTTAATATTAATCAAGAAAACTTAAAATATTAAATTATTCAAATCTTTTTCGTTTCACCTAATTTAAAAATGTCAAGAAGACTACGATGAATACTATCAAAATCCATATCGATCGGATCCCATTTGCAAAAACGACAACCACCACCTTCTTCAAGTGAGAGCTTTTTTATTATACCATCTCTAGTTAAGGCCAAGCGACCACATCGAAATCTTCTATTCATATATATATTATTATCTAAATATTCAGAAATTTTGAGTAAGAAAATATAATTATAGTCAAATAATGTTGGCTTGTTTCTACATTCATGATGATTCTTTCGCTATTATATAAATATAGTTAAATTTGAATTTATGCTTACATGCAAATTAAATTAATACTCTATAACACTTTGAAAAATGTTTTTTTTTTAATATTGTTTCAAATAAGGGAGTCATCGATTTCGGAATAAGACTTTTTTATTTTTTTTTAGATTATACTATATTGACAATTATTCGCCATTAACTTTTCAGTACTTCTTCAGAATGTGCACATCGTATCGTACTAATCAACAATGGGAGGAAAGGAAAAAAGGTGATTGGTGTACACGTTCTATATATCATATATAAGCGTATAAAAGATGACGCTATACGATATATGTGTGCATGTATATATACTTACCATGTGTACTAAACAGCGAAAAAACCGGCGGTATACCGATCGTACAACTGAAGAGTTTACCGGCGGTTAACCGGAGATATTATCCGCCGGTTTTTATTGAGTTCGTATAATATCGGTGCAGGGCGGTTTATTTTAATTCCGATTATATTAATAGAGTTTTCGATAATCTTTTATTTATTTATTGTGAAGTTCACATAAAAGACGTAAAAAATATGACAAATATAAAGGGTGTTCCAGAAGTTCTGAAACGATTTTAGGAATTCACCGTTCTCGCATTCTACAAAAGCAAATTCGCTGAAACTTTGGTAAATTGTTGTACATATGCGGTACTACATAACTGCAAAGTTTCAGGTATATTGCTTGTACTATGGATGAGAGCCTGAAACAACACTGTCATGTACTATTTTCGAAATTTTCCTGTATTCTGGGTCTGTCAAAATGTCTATATCTCGGCTTAGGTAGATGATAAAATCTTGAATTTTTTCTTAAAAGATGCGCCGTGAA